CGCTACGGCAGCCACGACAGCAGCAGCGCCGGCATGGATGGCAAGAAAAAGCCTCGAAAGTGGCTGCAGTTGGAGACGTCAGAGAGGAGGTGTCAGATTTGTCAGCACCTGTGCTATCTTTCCATGGTGGGTACAGTCCTTTGCCACTCCTGGGGAACTGTCCCCCTGCTCTAGCATTCCAGGGATCTATAGGCATTTGTGGCCACTGAACCATGTCTTGCACTCCACGCAAGACAAAGAGGTGATGATGTGGCATTTACTGCCTTGGTCAGTGGTGACAGAAGACAGCAGTGACAGCTGCCTTCTCACCCTGCCAGAAGGGATGAAGCAGTGCCCTCAGACACCTAAGAGATGTTTGCACTGCACTAGGAGGGCTAACAAAGACCCCTGCAGGTTGCCAGCAGCAGTAGGTTGTGACGGAGCAGGTCTCAGGATGAGCCACAGGTCAGACATGTGCCATGAGCCTCAGGCACGCAGCCACAGCCCGTGCTGAGACAATGTCCCTGCAGGCCAAATTACAGGGGAGATGTATCCCATCCATCAAGCTGTTTGCCAGCCTGTCCAAAAATAGCCCAAAAATAAACTTCTCTCTTCTAAGTGGGAAATGCCTACTGGCTTTTGAAGGTGTGCTGACCAGTGTGGTGACAATTCCAGGCTTAGAGCTGTATGCAGAACACCTACAAACACAGCAATGTCATTAAAAATACCAGAAGCCCCTCCCACAACCTTATATACCATTTTAATCATAAGAACAGGTATTCTCCTTTGGGTCTGGGAGGTTTTTTCTCTGTCATCTTTTGGGAATCGTTTTGGTTATAGATGTTTGGTTTTTAATGGAAATGAAATGTATCTGTATATAATCAGATGTAGCTGTTCCCTGCCCTAGGATAACATATGCTGAGTTTATACATGTTTTTAGACCACTTTTTAAGCAGCATTAGTTTGAAGTAACTTTAAAATGAGTTTATTTGAAAAAAACCCAAAATACTAACCAGAACTTCTTAATGGACCTTCTGGTGCATTTCCTCTGGAGTAAGTTTAATAATGGGAAGGATTTTTCTATGTCACTCTTTAACAGTAGTTGTGGATAAAAAACTCCCAACTTGGTTGTTAAATTCCAAGCTGAGCGTGCAGGCCTGGCAGGCAGCCAGCTGAGCAAATGTCACCATTGCTGAACAAGACAGTAGTTGAGGAATCCTGTGGCTAAGCTGATTATATCCTTGTTCAAAGCAGCATTTTAAGTAATGGGAAACTGCTCCTTTCAGGAGATCTTTAGGACTGCATAGGATATGCTAATAAATGCATATAGTGTTGGGATTTAGCCCTCATTAATATTGGTGGAGGGTTTTTTAAAATTATAGATATATTTGCCAACATTAGCACTGTAAAAGAGATAGATTCTCTCTAGCTATTGCACATCCTGAATGATTTCACAGTGTGCTTTACACCTCCTTCCACAACCTTGCAGTAAAATCCAGGTGGTGTAATTCAGGCCATAACTGAATACTGTGTGGAGAATACAGGTACAGTTTGGAGTTTAACTGCATTTCTTCTCCCAACCTCTGCTCTTTCATGTAGGTGGTACAGGAGAATGAAAACGTTGTCTTCTGCTTGGAGTGTGCCCTGCGGCACGTGGAGAAGCAAAAGTCGTGCCGGGGGCTGAAGATGATGTACCGCTACGATGAGGTGAGCTGACACTGCTCTGGGGAGGACACTTCACTCTGCCTTTGTCCTGCTGAGGCCTCAGCAAAATGGTCTTGGGGTTTGGGTGTTTGTCTTGGTTTTGTTTTTGATGTGGGAAGAAGGTGCTTTATTATGATTTAGTAAAAAAAAAAACAACAAAAAGGAAACATGATGATACTGATAAAACCTGAAGTATAAATTCCATGAATATGTGCCACAGAACATAAAAAGCCGCTTGATGCTTTGGGATGGAACATGAGGCTTTGCTTTCACTGTGGTAACTTCTGTGCTTTGGAATACCTTCCCTCTGTTGGTAACTGGAAGTTTAGTCGACTTTATTCCAGTCCAGCATGATCGTCCTTCAGGGCAACTTGCAGAGCACATGCAGATGAGAGGTGCAGTAATGGCTCCAAGCAAATGTCATGATGAATAATCCCTAAACTCAAGATGGGGACTTAGGACTGTGCCTGGGCTCTGGGTTGAGGCTCCATGTCTTCAGCTGTGAGCTCTTTACCTTGGCCCCAAAGGTAAAGACAGAGCAGTGGGAGAAATGACACATCAGCTCTTGGAGAGCAGCACTGGGTACAAGCAGCTTTTTAAGATGGGCTTCCCAGCATTTCTAAGCACTCCATTGCACTCCTGTTTAAGTGACTCTGGAGGAAAAGCAGATAGTAATTTCTGTTTTGTTTTTCCCACTTCCTGAACAGGAACAAATAATCAGTCTTGTCAATCAAATCTGTGGAAAAGTATCTGGTAAAAATGGCAGCATTGAGAACTGTATCAGCAAGCCTACACCAAAAAGAGGACCTCGTAAGAGAGCGACAGTGGACGTGCCATCATCTAGGCTTTCATCCTCCAGTTCATCCAAAAGTGCTTCAAGTTAATCCTGAAGATGCCAACACTCTCATTTTGTCAATTTATATATATTTTTTGTAATTATTATACCATAGTTTGGAGTACTTGCTGTAGAATACAAGCTGTCTTTGCACTAGCTCTAAAGAAGATTTTCTTCTGGTTTTAGAGAACTAATTTTGTTTTAGCATTAAACTGTTGAAATTTTTTTTTGTACTTAGAATAGATAGATACAGCAGTCTGATTTTTTTAAACTGCCGTATGTTCACTGTTTTAAAACCGGCAAGGGGCTGATAAAATATGAATTTGTATTGTCCCTATGGCTGAAAAAAAATAAAAAGCCTTTTTGGTAACTGTGAAAAAAGGCTTTTAACCCATTTTTTGAATAGGTTAAAGTTTGATGTGTTTTATAATTTGTTCTCCGGTCATGTGAGCAGATTTTTCTAGAGAGAAAAGGGATAGGAGACAAAAACTTGAAAGAAATTGCTTTACTTTGGCTGTCTTTTATTCTGTCACAGCAAGATGAGTTTTGTAATTTTTTAAATTGGAGAATACACACTTTCTTTGGGAGGTTATGGCAGCTGAAGATGGACTTTGTTTCCTAACTGTAGGCAAAAGGAGGAGATTTGGAGTATGTTCTCTTTTACCAGCACATCACTATGCATCTGTTTTGAGGGGGAAAAATAAAAAAAAATAAAATAAAAAAAAATTAAAAATTAAAAAAAAATTAAAAAAAAGGAGGAAAAAAGACTGCCTGCCTTGAGGAGTTATGTGAGGGAAAACTGTGCCTGATTTCATTAGGAAATCCATTCTGTTATTTTTTGGTGCTGTTGGCTACTTTATCAAAAACCCTTCAATAGCATCCTTTAAAAAAAAAAGATAAAAAAAGAAAAAAGTGATTGAAGCCATAAGTGCTTCTTTTGTCATAGACGTGCAATCTTTCTAACATTCCATTTCCATTCCACTGCTGTTTTTCACACCTTTACACAGTCAAGCATTAATTTTGTTTTGAATTTGTTTCATTATATGATCACATTTAGAGCCACTAGCAAGTCTGCGTATTTTCTTTTGAATGTGAAAATGCATTTGCTTTCATCTTGTCTATTTTTTCTCTTCATGTTGTAACAAAAAAAAAAAAATCACACCTTTTGTACATATGCCTGTAAATTTTTTTAAATACTTGAGCCTTTTCTTGGGGTGGGGGGAGGGATGGCAGAGAGACAAGATGAAGAAAAGCCTTACGTTTCACTTTCTTCATCGGTTGGATTGGATGCTTACAGGGTTTTTCTTGTAACATTTATAAGTGCTGCTTACATCACTGAACAACAACAAAAAATAATAATGGAGTAGCTGTTGCCCTTTTCTGGTTGTGTGTACAGTATGTGTGGAATAAAAAAGGGAAAATGTTTTCACAAACTGTTTTGTTTCGTAATTGAATTCAACAATACCGTAGCTACCCATATTGCACTGAGCTTGCCAGTGGTGACTGTCAGGAAAGTCCTATAATACAATTTGTTGATTGTTGTTGCAGAAGACTGAACTGTTTTGGAATATTTAACAATAACATAAACAGAGTCAAGTGTTTTCAAATGTGGTTGTCTGGTTTTTATGGCCTTGCTGTGTACTTTTCCCTCTTGACAGTAAACTTCTGACTATGGCTTACAGTTTGACATTTAATTTATTAGCGCTGCTCTGCTCTCTTTCCTTGTAAGGAAAGACTTCATGTTGTTTATTGCGAGTTTTTTGTTTACTTTCCAGGTTTGTACTACGAGGTTTAATAAAAAAAACAAAACTTTTTTGGACATTTTGTCTGTCTTCTGGAAAGCGAGAGGGTAAAGGAAGCTCCTTCAAGATAAATTTCTTCCAACAGCTGCCTTGTTGAATAGTAAAGCTCTTAACTGTAGGTAGAGAGCTTCCAACCTTCATTTCCCAGGCAGGGATCAGGAAACACTTTGTCAGCTAACAGGAGAATCCTTAAGGAAACTGGCCTCTGCCCAGCTGGCAAGCAGGAAGAGATACCCTCCTTCCCAGCCATTGGCTTTGTCAGGGCAGGTCTTTGGAAGGGACCTACATCACAGCTCATCCTTTTACTTACGCTGTTTCTGATTATATTCCTTCCCTCTGGCAGGAAGAGCAGGAGCCAGGAGCCTTCTCAAAGAAGAGCAGATCCCTGAAAATAGAGCATGAGACTTGACAAGCAACAGGTGTTAGACATGGTCAGACCTCAGAGAGAAAAACGACTGCAGAAAAAACGGGAATGAGATGATGCCTATAGGTCTTGAGGTTCTAAAATACACACACTTAATTAACAATTAACTCAGGTTTATCTCCCTAGTGTAGTCAAACAGAGTTTGCCATGGAAAAGCACATTACATTGGTGCTCCTAATAACCACATTTTATCCTGAGTTAGGCTCCTCTGTTCACTTGTCATGGATAAAATACCTGTGTAATCAAGTAAAAGACATGGTTGGGATAGAAATTCTTTATTTTATCTTGAAAGAGGAGTAAGTACACAATGCTAAGATACCTGCTCCACAAGGAGTGCAACATTTCCATATGCATCTCTCCTCCTTCTTGGATTCTTATTTTTTCCTTAACACCTATAACTAAGTTGGTCCTGAATAAGAAGTGTGAGAACAGTAGACACTGCTGCATTAGTAGACAAAGGCAGGAGGCAGACAGTAGGTAGTAAAGAGTAGAAAATAACTTTTCATTTTGGTTTGGATCCTAAATCTTCAGTTGCAGCAGCTGAAAACATGCAAGGAACAATTTGGGTTCAGTTTTACACATCAACTCTTAAGTACTTCCAATCAGCCATTTAAAGGTTAGTGGTCAAAGTAACTTCTACCTTTCCCCTTAAATTCTCTTATACATAGTATATACAACAGTTTTACTGCTCCCCTGAGCCCCAAGACTACTGTTAAAGTGTGTGTGCTTTAGGCATAATTTTTTCTTTAAAAACCAACCTCCACATGACTGGCAATTTTGTAAAAAGGCAGTATTACTAAGTAAAAAGATCTGGCTGTTACGCTTGGTTAGCAAATCGTTACACAGGCAAGCTCTTCATTCACTTGTTCATTCATTCAGAAGTCATTCTCAAAGGATATGGTTTTAAGATTCAAATAGTCTGAGAGTCACTTTCATCACTGCCATCTGAAGCGCCCTTTCTCTCAGTTACAGCAGCAAGGGCAGTGTCCACTTGAACCTCCTCTTCGTCCGACTGGACCACGGGGGACTCTCCCTCGCTGGCGTCCTGGCTGGCCGAGTCGGTGCAGGTGGAGGACAGGGAACAGAGCTTCTGCCGCAACTCCGACTGGCTCGGCACCTGCAGGCTGATCTCGCTCACGTAGCTGTTGGAGTCGGGCCCTGAGAGGTGGGAAAACAACAACAGCAACAGTCAAGCTCTGGCTCAGCAAGGGGACTGAGAAATCAGCACGTTAACATCAGCTCAGCGCTGCTAAAGGAGTCACTTCCAGGCTGTTTTCATTCTTTCCCAAGTCACCAAGAGGAAAACCCCCCAATAAACTCAGTGTAACAGAACTACACAAACTGGAAATTAAAAACCAAACAAACAACTGGGAAGCAGGCAATAACAGCCATCACCAGTTTTGACTAAAAATGAAGATGCAAAAGCAAATCAAATTTAATTCAGCATGAAAGCAATCATTTGGTAGAGCTATACCACAGCTCAAGTGCACAGGAGTGGCAGACTCTGTTTTGAGACTCTGCTTCCTCCATATTCTGTGCAAAAAAGACTTGTGACACAGTGCAACAGTATTTGCTTGCAGTTTAAGAGTTCAGGTTTCAAAATTAGATTCTCTTTCCTGGACAGTTCCGGAAAACAAAAAAGTAAAAATGAGGAAACATATAAACACTTTCTATGTGATCTGCCAAATAAAGCCCTTTTTTCCTTCTCTCCTATACCTAACAAGTGTTTCTCCATAGTCAGAGCACCCAGCTTCAGCTGATGAGTAACTTTAGTGAGAAAATTCTCTTAAAAATTTTATTTAGAAGTTTTTCAGAAGGGTCAGATGGATATGAGCTACACCTTACCTCTGCTCAGACAGTTTGCACAGCAGTTCAAACCACGCTGTCTCTACCTGCTCCTCAACTACTGGAGTTATATTTTAACACTAGAAATTTTAGAGAACCTGCCTTGTGTCGTATACACCAGCATGCATTAAATCAATTTAGACAACACAGAGAGAAGGAGTTTTCAGGAGTGACAGAGCTAACTCAATTTTGCAGTTTAACTTACTGTCATAAATGTTGTGAAGGCAATGTCCGTAAGCTGGCAATGTTTATAGCAAGGCAGATTTGAAAACATTTCAATGTCTTGAGCTGATTCTCATTTTTACCAGTTATTTTAATAACTTACCTGTATTTTGTGGTGTTCAGGCCAATTGTCAAACAAACCTTGCACTGACAACTCAATTCTCCACTGACAGCAAAATAAAGAGTTAACAATCTCATTTTTCTGAGAATGAAGACTATTGCATATTTGGTTTGATACTGGGGTGCCAGGTTCTTAAACAAGCACAAAAACCCCTTAATCAGAGGGAAATAAAATGTCTGGAACCACAAGAGTGAGATTTACGAGACTTACACTGCAGTAAGGTCGCAGTGTTGGAACATTACTACAGCACAGGTACATTATATTGCAATGTGTGTCCATGTATAGACTCTATAATTATATGCTGTAATATTCAGATTACAGCATAAAATACAGAATATATTTTTTTTTCAAAAGCTAATGCATTTATCTACTTAGTTAAAAAAGTAGTTTCTGCCCTTCCTTAGATAATCCAGCTGAGACTGTTTGCTGTTAAGACCTGAAGCTTCTTGGTCCAATATCTGCCAAACTGCCAGCAAGGGGAAAACAGTCCTAGATTACTGGCAAGCTCAAACGATGATCAGCTTTAATAATGCATGAAGTGGATGCCTATCCAAAACCACCCATCTCAATTTAGTTTTTGCAATGAAGCACAAAAACCTACACCTTTAGCAGTCAAGTGTGCCTTGACCATTTACCACAAGCTTTTCATGTTCACAGCAGGTGTTAATCACCTTTACATTGGGAGTACTGTAAGCACTTCCATAAAGATATTTCAATCTGTATTTTCAGAAGGTACCAAAAGGACCTTTAAAGGAGCTTCATCTCCTCTCCCACAAGAAAAATAATTTTGGCTCTTTTGAGGAAAGGCATTTTAGCACTTAAGCTTTTATCTAGGAAAACACTTCCATGGTAGGTAAAAGATCCAGTAATGAGACACTAATTCTCAGTGTATATGTAAACTGCTGGGTTGAATCTTGTCTCTCAGTATCTCTCACAGAAGATCTTACATTACACAACTGGTCCATGTTTGACAAGCAACATTCTGGACAAACTCTAAGAAATTAGAGTTTGACAAAGTATTGAAAGCCTAATTACTGCAAGCTATCTGTTGATGTTTGTCAAAATGTCCTCTATTAACTCTATATTGGGAAAAATGCCCCTCAAGCCAGTATGTAACACATGACCTATCCAGACTGTGATGAATAGAACAGGGAGCTGCAGTATGAAAAATGAGATTCTCTGGAAATATCACACAGTTTTGCAGCAACACCCTTGTACAGCAACTAAATGTTAATGTTTGGAGAAGCACTAATGAAGAACAGTCAATCTGCATCAAGTGTGATGTTTGATGAGATAATATCACCCATCACAAAAGCGAGCAGTTCTGGTGGTTTATCAGAGTCTCTAAGCAGGCTGTCACTACAGGTACCATACCCAGCATGGGAGACAGCACATTATTGTCTTCGCTCCCTGAGTTCAAAAAGACGTCGAGTGCTTCCTGGTCAGACATGTCCATCAGATCCATCTGCTCCAGCATGTCCACATTCACCTCCATGGAAGACATACTTCCAATGGGTTCTGCAGGGGAAACAGCACAATGAGTGAACTGACCATCAGCTACACGAGGTTATTACCTACCAAGGCTCCAGAGGCTGCTACAGTTGTCTGCAGCAGCAATAATTAACTTTAGGAATGGAAGGAGCCCGCCCACAGCAACTGCTCAGCAGCCACCTCAGCCCAAATCCAAGAGCACTCTGTGCAATCTTTGTTGTGAAACTAACATCCATTACTGCTTCTGTAAACCAAAACATTTTTAGCAGCAGTATTTATAGCAATAACCTTCTCAGAAATAAGCTGAGATGGGACTCAGGCACAAGGATTGAAACTTTCCATTTTGGAACACTCCTTTTCTATTTTCTCAACCAGAAGTCTTTTTAGAGAAAAGCAAACACATTTAAGGACACAGTCACTAAATGTCAATATACAAGAGACATAGAAATTCAGAAACCAGGATTAATGTTAACAGAGAGCAGTTCTTCTCTCAGATAGTCTAAGAAATTACAGTAGTCTGTAAAACCCAGGCTCATGCCCAGTATTTTCTCTCAGCATGGGTATCTCACATTACTAATTACTCGAGCAAATTACTTATTACTGTCAGTACAGTACTGACAATTTGTAAGCGAAGTAAATACTTGGATGAGCATCTTCTCCCTTGAACAGTTAAACATGCAAAGAGGAAACAAGTACCATTCAGGGCCATTCAGACTTAAGTCCACCTGCTGCATTGTATAAAATTATTTAAATGAACAGTTTACTTGTTTATCTAAAAGTAACAATTACATTATTGAAAGCCTTCATAGGTGAACTGAGAATAAATTCTGTAATTTGATTGGGGTATTTTTTTTTCAAATATGCTACAGCTCTGCAGTTTTACATGTACTGCAGATCCAAGTCTTTCATTGAAACAGTTTCTTTGATACACCCGGGCTCCACATTATCCTAAAAAGCTGAAGTTCCAAATGTTAGGCAGCCTAACACTCAAACAGAGCTGTGTGTCCAGTACCAGCCCATGACAATGTGCACTTTTAGTCTAAAAGGCAACCTATTACAGAAAGCAGGGGACTCCAACTCAGTTCCTCCCCTGACCATGAATTTAGATTTATATATCCCACCTCCCCTTAGCCACCCATGCAGAGCATCTTGCAGATGAGTATTTATAGCAGTCATGAAGAGAAATAGAAACCTTGGATTGTACTCCCCACTCTGACATTACAAATGGCAGCAGAACTGCTCTTGGAGCAGGGACAGAATATCTACATTTTTCCTGCCACATGAATACCTAATTTCCCGCCAGCTTCCTTACCAGTCCAACAATCCCTGCATTTTGGCCTAACAGATGGAAACCTCCCACACAGATTTCCCTGTAATCTCTGGCATTTTTGTGCTTTAACCAGTCCAGAGATGCCAGACTTGTGTAATTTCATAATAAGGAAAGCACTTAATGTGACGTCCTGTGTCCTAATCACACCCAGTGGGAATAGTTGTCACCTGGGAACTGCTTGGAAATGCTACACTGAACTTTTCCCTGCACTTTGCAAAATTTTCTGAGGCATCTCCTTGCCAAATTACAATCCCAGGCTTTGGAACTCCAGTGGACAAAGCAGCTGCCTTCATCCATATTTTTACATAGATGCACTCTTCAGCTGCAGAGAAAACACTGTTCCAGAAGCAGTTCTGTGCTCTGCATCTCCCCAGACAAGGAGCAGAGCCTGACTAATCTTCTAAGGTATCCAGTACCCTAGGGACACCAAGTTTGTTCAAAAGGCTTATCTGAAGTTCCAGTTCTACTGAGGAAGAATTTGGACATTTTTGCTGTGCTTCCTCTGTAAGCACTGCTGGCTCTGCCCGCTCAACAATGATCTCCAGGCTGGGGGGTTTGTACAAAAGGTTTTTACAACTTGCCTCTCCTCTCTGCTATCTGCAAGTATCCTGTGGAAAGGTATTGCTCCATGTCCTGCTGGAAAGCTTCTTCAAAGAACTTCTGGCGCTCCTTCAGCTTCATCTGCTGGGTGTGCTCCATGTCCAAAACCTTCTGTGCATGTTCAGCATCGAGTTCAGCTGAGCACAAAACAAACAGACAAATCAAATATTGCAGGTCCACCCCCCCACTCTCAGAATTTAAAACCTACAGAACCAGTTCAATAAATTCTGACAGACTATTATTGCAATAAAAGGAGCTCTCTGCGCTTTGCAACTGTATTTTAAACCAGGATGGGAATCCCATATTAGGCAGCATAACCTTCACATTAAAGTGATGTCAGAACCATTTATCTCGAGGCAAGATGCAAATTTCCACAGCTGTATAAACAGGAACACCTGAGAGCAGTGTCCATCAACAACTGGGATTTCAGAATCCTGCCAAAAAAACCTGAGGCAATGATGCTTCTGCAGTCATTTGCACCTAATGCACACAAAAGCAACACTTTTCATTTGAACATTGCTGCATATTTCCACCACAGTGCAGGTGGCAAGATACATATATGTACATACATATAAATACACATACATAACATATGTGTGTATGTGCATGTATGCCTGAGATTCTGGCTTTGCCAGCCTCCAGACAGAATGGAAAAATTCCATGAAGAATCCTACATGTACATGCAGCAAAGGAAATATTAGACAGAATTAGGAAATATTAGACAGAATATCATCAAAGGAACTCCTTCCTCTCTGTTTTGCTCCACACTGGACAGAGGGGAAAAGAATTGTGCTGTTTATTGCAGAATAACATCTTCTAGAATAAAAATATGTAATTGCTATAGAAGCACTGACTGCAGCCAGACTGTTGGAACATGCTTCAGAAAAATTGCTTTTTAGGAGGAATACATAACCTGGAACCCTTTTCCCAGAGCTCTCTGTTCACTTTTCTGGTGTCATGAGTGCTCTGCTTACAACAGAAAAGGAATTTTCCAGCTGAGCTCCTGATGGAAGGGACGGGGGTGGCGAGAAGAGCTGCTGGTCTGTTCCGTTCTGCCCATTAGGGAAAGCTCCAACAAACACCACTGGGTGAAAAATATCCAAGCTTTCACATGCCAGACAGACACAGCTGGAATATGGCATCCACATGGATAAATGCTGAGGGCACACGAGGTTTTCTAGGACAAGCATTGTGTCAGTCTTCCAGGAAAAATGTTATGTTAATGATATTCTACAACACAGACATTCATTAAAAGCATTTACTATTATGGAGATTATTGCCCAAATGCAGAACATGTTTTATTAAACCAGGCAAAACATCAGAGAGCAGTTAATTCACTCTGTTGCCTGCATCAAGGTCACAGTTCATAAACAGAAGCAACTGAACTGTGGCTGATGCCAAAAGAAGCCAGGAAACTGGACTGACACACCAGATATTCATTAAAACATCAGTAAATAAGCAGAAATCTCTCTCTTAAAGGAGATTTCAGAAGCAAAAACATCAGTGTATAAAAGGAATGCATCTTCCCTGAAGGCAACATGTCTTTATTATCAATTACACTGTGGTGTACGATGACTGTGTCCCCTGGAGCAACTCCTTTACTGCAGTCCTGGATGATGAGCAATTATTAATAACATTGTCTATGATGCAGAAATGCTATTCAATTGTAATAATAAAAGCCAGAGGCTCTCACAGACAATGGGAATTTTCTGTCTCTCTCATAATATAGTCTGACAGTTTTGCACTCTAGATTGGTAATTCAGGATATTTTTAACCCCAAAACAGAGATGGCATCTAAGTGAGACTTGATACAATCTCTTTGTTGACACTGAGCTCTTTGTTTTTAGATTTTGCCTAAAATGTCCTGTAAACTGTTGAAATTGTCACTGGCCAGAGCCGAATGGCAACAGCTGCCTGCTGTGCTGGCATGTTCCACAGGAAACTGTAAACACATGAGCTGCATAGTCAGATAGAGAGTCAACATCTAGAACCTTGCTGCACGATTTCACGCCCTGCCAGGTGTAGTAAGAGGTGCTTGGCTAAGCAAAACCAAACTGCTGCATCTGGGTTTCTGTTTGTTGTCAGAAATGCTAAGGATGAGAGGGGAAGCCAACCATCAAACATGAAACCAAAGAAAACAGGTGCATTGTTTCTCTCACAGAGCTACTCAGAATTGTGTTTTCCCTAAGCCAAGGGTAGTTTATAAAACACTGAAAAGAGACAGAACTAAAGGAGCTCCAAAAAAGACAAAAGTATCATCCATATGCCATCATACACTGCTCATAGGAATTCCTCCCAGGATGCAAACTGAGACTTGGCACACTTAAAGCATTATTGTATTTTTCCTTTCACCCTAAAAACTGTACTTTTCAATTGGCAATGGCACCTATTTCTCTATCACACTGTGCACAGAATAGAAAAAAAGACAGACTACGGAAAAGGCTAATGCACAATTAGATGCAGACATACAGGAGTTGCCACAATAACCCAAATAAAAGATGATTAATTCCTCACCAGCTATGACTTTTAAGAGAACAGACACTAAAAGCAGGCAATTTTTTTCCTAAAATAGTGAACACTTGAGTGCTGAGGCACAGCCTTCTGCACCACACCCAGGAACAGCCCCACAGCTCACCCTGATCGCCTCAGGTACAGCCCACAGCCTGACTCCCTGCCCCACATCTTCAGGGTTTGAACCAGACACCAGGAGAATCCAAACTCCAAAGGAACAAATGACAATAGCTTCTAGCCATACAGCTCAAGTGTAGAGGACACCATTTCCTGGTATCACTCCAAGGTCCAGCTGACACTTCCTACAAATTAAAATTCTGCTGCAGTACCTGAAGTATCTAAGTAACCAACAAAATGACCATTTAATGTTTTAATCTAAAACATTTTCCAGCTATGCACAACAGATTTCCCAAATAAGCTGGAAGAATGACTAAAAAAATAATTAAAATTTTAAAAAATCAGCAACTGACAACACTGGATGTTTACATGGCTAGCACATCTATAGAAAGCAAAGGGAGACGACCCATCCTTTGATCAGCATCGAACTCCGATTTATTGATCCCACTTACACACTTTTATAGTGGTGTTAATTAAGCTTATACATATTACAAAACCCAAGTTCATCATTGGCCACAGATTACACACCAACCCCTCCTTTTGTTTTCAATGCCTGTGGTTTGTTATTGAAACCAAGATTTGTGTTCTCACCCTGATATGAATGGTTCTCAAGGCTTCCATGTTTGTCACTTTTGCTTTCCCATACCTTATCCAAGGACAAGGTATTTACTTGTTATTGAAGACAGGCTTGAGAACTCTTGCTGTTTACAGAAACGTTTCTGAGAAACAGGCTTGGGAACTGCTGCTTACAGCTGCCTTTTACTTTTCCATCAGCTGTATATTTTCATGGCCTTTTTTCCTTCAAGCCATGTCTGAGCAAAATTCTCCAACCCACATCCCTTAGACCAACATGAAAGATGTCAAGTTGTCCAAATGGACTGCTTTTAGTGCTTTTTAGTGATTTCAACACTTCCCTTCAATCAATTTATTACGTAACTTTATATCTCATGTGATGTAGAACCCATAAATGCATCTGGTCTAAAGAGAGAAAGACACACAAAAAAAATGCCCCTTTTTCCTCCCTCTACAGTTCATTTGCTTTTTGCAGACTCATCCAACCAAACCATAAAATGCATGCACACATTCTCTGTGGGCTTTTTTTGCTTTTGCTACAGCTATCAAACCTTCAGTGAAGCAGCCCTTCACTGAACTCACTGCTGTTTTTGATGTTCCTCCTATGCTAGGAGAGCTTGAAACTGGCCATGGCATGAAGACACGCTGGGTGGAGGATAATCCCTTTAGCTGAACTCCTGGCCCTGTTCCCGTGGTGCTGTGTCCCTCCCTGCTGCCAGATGTGCTGCAGGCTGGCACCCGGCTCGCTGCCCATGGAACCCCCAGGAGACAGGATCATCTCTATGCCCAGTGCCAGAGCCCCCCATCTCCTCCCCTGGGATAGAGCTCTGGCTTCTGGTCCCACCCCCAGGTAGGGAATGACCCCCAAAACACCAGGCTCCCAACCCAGCCGGTCATTTGTCCACCCTGCTGTGCGTCCATCCAGGCTGGAACATCATCACTCGGCCGCGGGATTGTCACAGCCCATCAGCAGGATGGCCACTCACTGAGCAACCAAAATCCTTCAAAAATCAGAACAGTAAAATCATGAAAGCAGATGATGCAAGGCAGACAGCCAAGCAGCTTTCTGAGCGCACTATGACTTAGCAACCTCTACTGCAAACTGCCTCGTTACAGACCCCTTCAACTAAAAATATCAAAGGAAGACAAGACACCAGGGAGTGCTTCAAAGGATGCAGTTTCCCTCAAAAATGCTTAAATTATTCTTGACAGAATTTAGAATACGTGTTGATGCTGTAAGGGAGAATGTGCAGAGCACTCTTGCAATATAGTCTGCTGACAGGTGGGGAGAGCTGGCAAGATTCAGGGGAAAAAAAAAGTAGAATAAGAGATCTAGGTGCACACAGTCTTTCTTCCACAGAAGAGTGAAAGGAAAACAAGTGAAAACTACAAGTCCTAGGTGTTTTTAAACTCATATTTAACAGTCTCTTTACAAAGAAATTTGGCTTTACCAAAGATATAGTCAAATAATTAAAATTTAAAAAATTAAGTCCTGATTCACTAGAATGTGAAGTCAGGATTTCACTCAATGACAGAAAGATCATCTGTGTTTGAAAAAAAACCACTGTTCCAAATGAGATTTACTGTCTGCCAACTATCAAAAGCCTGCACATTCATGAAGAAATGTTTTACTACAATTATAAAAAAAAATCAGTCATTAAAAATGACTGTATGTACTGCTTGATAATACCTAACTAGGGTTTTTATAGATTGCATCAGAATATGAAAACTCTAGTCAAGAAAAAAACTAGTGCAGAGAGATCATCTTTAACATTTCCCAGCAAGCAGTTTCAACAAGTTGGCTTACCTGAAAAAACTCTCTTTAAGCAAAGAAAAAAAAAAAAGCTTGCTTGAAATCCTTGGTATATAAAGGATAGGCCTAAATATATACCAGAACAAACTACAGAAAATAGGTGCTTATGTACAGCAGGATTCC